TTCATTTCAGCAAAATTCAGCCATTAAGGGTTTATGTGCATTTAACATGTTTTAGGCATGTCCTTTACCTGTAAAGGCCTCCATTGTGTAGACCTTCAAAAGCCTTGAGACTGCTGCTGGGTGATGCTATCTTGGATTTGATGTCATTGGCCCCAGTAAATTTTGCACTGCCAATCAAGTGACACTCTTTTTGGTATTCCCCTTCACTCCTCCTCTGGCATCTGATTAAATGGTTATGCAGGGAGGTGTGGGGGAGGGATGAAGGAGCTGTGCCAGCACAGATAGTAAACTGGACACTCAGAAAAGGGCTGGACCGGCAAGGAAGGACTGTGCGAGGGAGTTGAATTTTCCTGTAGAAAGTTCAATGGCACACTGCAATAAAAAATGAATTGTGTAAAGGAAAAAGAAAAAAAAAAAGTTTCTGTAATTTTGATTTTATTCCTACTGTTTGGTGGCAGAGTATATTCAGGATACTTTAGGGTTTTTTGTACAGCGCACATCCTGATGTTTAATATATTTGTATATATGTTCTGTATACTTATGATTAATTCTATTTCCTTCGTATCCCAATAGAGAAAATAAGGCAGAGATATGCTGACCTTCCGGGGGAACTGCAAATCGTTGAACTGGAGAAAGATAAACATGGACTTGGCCTCAGTTTGGCGGGCAATAAGGACCGATCACGGATGAGTATCTTTGTGGTAGCCATAAATCCAGATGGACCTGCTGGAAGAGATGGGAGAATCCAAGTTGGAGATGAATTATTGGAGGTAAATCTTACTGGATATATATGGTAAATAATACAGGCTTAGCTGCTAAAATGGCTATTGTGATCTTCTGTGTTCTCCAGGAGATTGCTGTACTATGTCTCCAGTCTAACTAGTGAACAAAACTAGGTAACTACCAGGGGCGGACTGACAACTCATGGGGGCCCCCGGGCAATAGGGGATCATGGGGCCCCTGTGTCCTTGCCCAAACTCAAAGCCTATGAAAAAGGTACCAGGGGCACCTCATGGGGCCCCCTACTGACCCCGGGCCCTCGGGCAGTGCCCAAGTTTCCAAATGGTCAGTCCGCCCCTGGTAACTACTATAATTTTTTTGAAATTCCATTGGGCTTTGGTTTTCTACAACACCAAAGTGTGACAGCTCATGCAGAGTAAGGGCCAGAAAATAGGATGGGTGCAGTGGTGCCTAGTAGCTTGACGTGACTGTGTGTTCTTACTGACCTTTGGTGGGTTATGTCCCTCAACCTTCAAAATGAATTGCTGCAATTAAAGGTTATATCCAGGTCTTACCCAAATTTAACTAGTGTCCCAGCATCATTTTTTATTTTTTTTATTTTCTCTTTTTCTTGCAGTAAGAAATGGCCTTTTTTTATTCTTTGTGACATCATCATCCGGCATTTAAAATTCTTGCAGATTCAAGTGGTGTTGTTAGGAAAGAACTCAATGGGGTTGATTTACTAAAACTGGAGAGTGCAAAATCTGGTGCAGCTGTGCATGATAGCCATTCAGCTTCTAACTTCAAAAAACTGGAAGCTGATTGGTTTCGTTGCACCAGATTTTGTACTCTCTAGTTTTAATACATCACCCCCAATGTATGCATGGGGAAAAGGACAGAGAGGAGTAGAAATAGGTGGAGTTCTGTAGTCCAGCAGGCAGGGCTGACAAAGCTGCTTGGGATCTCAGTGAAGATGGGACTTTCAGGGTGCATGAACATGAATACAAAACATATTGAAAAGTTATATAATTTTTATTTCGTATTTTTGTAAAAAAACACAAAGGAAAAAAATACAGAAACATAAAAACAATTTTAGTACTAAAAGTAAAACTGAGATTCAAACTTGGTTATGTAATTGTAGTTACTCCCTACATGTTTCGCCCTCCTGGGCTTCTTCAGGGAAGATTTCTTTGAAGAAAATTCTACCACCGAGGCAGTCTAGAGATATATCAAAGAAAATGATACAATTACCAAACAACTTTTTTATATATATATATATATATATATATATATATATATATATAATTACACATACATACATGGGACTCAATAGCTCACCCTGGATGTGAAAGCTCACGTAGCTAGGAGAAAATGACCTAAAAAAGATCCTGATTGGCCTACACGTCCAAAACCAACCGTTGTAGAGGATATACTGGGCATCAAATATTCATGTTCATGCACCCTGAAAGTTCCATCTTCTCTATTGAATATTTGCAACTTTAAAGGATGTGGTGCAATAATCATATCTGGTCGCCCGCTCGCCACTTCACTGTTACTAGAAGTAGCATTTTGTTAACCCAAACAAAGTTAGGAGCTCCCTGGAATTCCGGTAGGAATTTTTCAGTACTTGCAACATCTTAAAAGGGATAAAACATGTGCATGTATTGTAGAGATATACTGACTGTTTTAGGATTCTATTTGACTTTAACCCCTTCCTATCAACTCCAGTGTCCCTTTAAAAAGTTCTGAAAGCCAAGGGGTGGGAAAGATCAGTTGATCTTGTGACCACTGTGAATGGCTGTCACTATGGTCACATGCTTGGGAGCCGGTTCCTTCAGCTATGGAACATTAGCAGGGACCAAGAACTGTCTTTCACAGCTCAGTCTGTTATGAGTGCACTCTCAGCACAGAGACATCAACCACCCAGTGATGCATATGTGTGACATGTGGGCATTAAAGGCCTCCACTTTGCCACTATACGTGTGTTAGGTCATAAATGGGTTAAAGAGAGGAAAGCAAAATGGATGCCATGATGCTCAACAACTAGCCAAGGTTCTGAAGGTAGAGCTTGGTTACTTGTTGCATATGACATCTCTTCAATGTGGTCAAGAAAATAAGGTGTCTACATCACCATAAAAAAGCTCTTTAGAGGTGGCTGTCCCATCTTTCCAGTCCATGCTGAAATCTGGATGTGAATCTCTAAATCAGCCTTTCTCAATCAGGGTGCCCAGGCACCCTGGCGTGCCTTGAGGTTTCTTCAGGGGTGCCTTGGCAAAATGTCTAAAAATTGCCCAAAACTTGTATACAAGACAGCGGGTGGAACAAGCCTGCTTTTTAGTTACACAAAGCCATGGGTTTTTATTGTGCACCATTACCACCTTCTAGACACTGGCGTCCTGACAACCAATGACATGATCAGTTGATAAGAAGGATGTCAGCTGCCTGCACAGCAGCCTAGTTTGACCCTCCCCTGCCCCTCTCCATCACTGCTGGGGTCACATTAGCTCAGTGATGGAGAAAAAGAGGGTGAAGAGAAACATAGGAATACTAGTCAGTACCAGTGTGCAAAAGTGTATTTGTTTTGGAAGAATAAATCCCCTCTAATGTTGGGTGTCCTACATGTGTGGATGCTGTTTTGTGATATAAAAGTAATAGAATAGTTTTTCACATTTTAGAATGGGGTGCCTCAGGACTGTCCATAATTTTAAAGGGTGCCTCAGGACTGTCCATAATTTTAAAGGGTGCCTCAGGACTGTCCATAATTTTAAAGGGTGCCTTGACTGAAAAAATGTTGACAAACACTGCACTAAAGGAAAAATGGAAATAAAGTAACTGCAAAACAATCCTAAAAAATAAAACCCCTTTTATGCAAAAAAAAAAAAAAAAAAAAAAAGAAAGCATTCTTAGTATCTTGTCACAATAAAGCTTTTTAATTGTGGTTTCCCTCATCTTTATTTGTGCAAATTTCTAGAGAGCTACAAATTGATCTAATCTTTCTTGATTCTGTTTAATTAACGTTGGTGGAATCTACCCGCTGTTCATCTGTTCGGCGAGGAGAAAATATCTTCCAACACAATCATTCATCATTACATCCTTGCTGCATCCATTTATTCTGGTGTGTTGAATCTCCATTTGTTTTGTACTCTGTGGCTCTGGTTAAAGCCTGCCTTAGGCGGATCGAAATTCGGCCAGTTCAGCAGGAAACAACCGAATTTCAATTCTTCTATGGGCAGGCTGATTGTACTGAAGTCGATCTATAAATGGACTTCAGCAAGACCAGGGTTTTTTTTTTTTGTTTTGTGCTATCACTGCTGATGGCTATAGCCGCCAGCAGTAATCATTGTATTCTAGCTCCATGCACATGGGGCGTTTTAATAATGCTGGTAACGTTGGCTGTGTAAAGTCACATTAAAAACCTGAGTTTTTCAGTGTTTTTGTATTAGCGTTTAGCTGCGGTTTTTCACATTTGCGTTTTTTAGAGTTTTTTTATTTTTCTACCAAAAAAAAAAATTTTTTTTCAGTAAAAAAAAAAAGTCCAAAAGCACTAGTTTGCCGCGTTTTGCCATGTTTTTTAGCGTTAGATAATTTTTACAGCTAAAAAACTCCTCTAGAAACCCAGTAGTCCTGGATTTTATTTTCCAAGCCAAAAAACGTCCCTTGATTAGTCTGTGTGCATGGACACGTAGGATAACATGCCAGGGATGGACACGTAGGATAACATGCCGGGATGGACACGTAGGATAACATGCCAGGGGACATGGACACGTAGGATAACATGCCGGGGATGGACACGTAGGATAACATGCCGGGGATGGACACGTAGGATAACATGGCGGGGATGGACACGTAGGATAACATGCCGGGGATGGGGGATGGACACGTAGGATAACATGCCGGGGATGGACACGTAGGATAACATGCCGGGGATGGACACGTAGGATAACATGCCGGGGATGGACACGTGGATAACACCAGGGATGGACACGTAGGATAACATGCCGGGGATGGACACGTAGGATAACATGCCGGGGGATGGACACATAGGATAACATGCCGGGGATGGACACATGGACACGTAGGATAACATGCCGGGGATGGACACGTAGGATAACATGCCGGGGATGGACACGTAGGATAACATGCCGGGGATGGACACGTAGGATAACATGCCGGGGATGGACACGTAGGATAACATGCCGGGGATGGACACGTAGGATAACATGCCGGGGATGGGGGACACACAGGATAACATGACGGGGATGGACACACATAGGATAACATGCCGGGGATGGACACGTAGGATAACATGACGGGGATGGACACGTAGGATAACATGCCGGGGATGGACACATGTAGGATAACATGCCGGGGATGGACACATAGGATAACATGCGGGGATGGACACGTAGGATAACATGACGGGGGATGGACACATGCAGGATAGGATAACATGCTGGGGATGGACACGTAGGATAACATGACGGGGATGGACACACAGGATAACATGCCGGGATGGACACACAGGATAACATGCTGGGGGGTTTACTAGCTGTAGAAAAAAACATCAGACAAAAACAGCCGCTGTAAAAACGTCCCGTGTGCATGAGGGCTTATGGTGGGGAAACCTCCTGCTTTCACAATACAATACCGCAGCAGGAGAGATTCCTGACTGTTGGGGGAATCAAGCAATTTTCTTCAGCCAATGATTGAAGGAAAGAGAATCTGTGGCCTGCCTAAGTTAAAAGTCCCTTTTTTAAAGACTCTACAAGTACAGAGAATACCTGTTGACCTGCCAGAAATGCACTCGGCATCTAAATTTCTGTCGAGGGTTAACAACAAAGTATTTTGTGGACTGAATGTTGTTAGCCCTACCTTTTTGCTAAACTACTCCACCACTCCCACCCTCAAATCTCTACAACATGAAAGCTAATCTTTCTGTAGTCCAATATCACAACTAGGAGATTGCTGGAGGACGTGTGCAGAGGACACAGGATGGGCCATTTCATACCAATGCATTCTAGCGCAGCTGTAAAACGCAGATCAATGGAAAGACATCGGAAAAACAATTTCCAATGTGTCCTATTCACACCATAATGTTACATTGTGTTGCACAAAGATGCAAAATGTATGTCAACAGACATCAGCGCGCATTAAAACACAGCATAGTGGCTAACTGGTTAGCACTTCTGCCGGGCAGTACTAAGGTCATTGGTTCGAATCCCAACGATGGCACCACCTGCCTGGAGTTTGCATGTTCTCCCTGTGCCTGCGTGGGTTTCCTCCCACACTCCAAAGACATGCTGGTAGGTGAATTGGCTCCTGTCTTAATTGTCCCTAGTATGTGTATGTATGAATGTGAGTTAGGGACCTTAGATTGTACGCCCCTTGAGGGTTAGGGACTGATGTGAATGTACTATACAGTGGGGCAAAAAAGTATTTATTCAGCCACCAATTGTGCAAGTTCTTCCACTTAAAAGATGAGAGAGGCCTGTAATTGGCATCATAGGTAGACCTCAACTATGAGAGACAAAATGAGAAAACAAATCCAGACAATCACATTGGCTGATTTGGAAAGAATTTATTTTGCAAATTATGGTGGAAAATAAGTATTTGGTCAATATGAAAAGTTCATCTCAATACTTTGTTATATATCCTTTGTTGGCAATGACAGAGGTCAGACGTTTCCTGTAAGTCTTCACAAGGTTGGCACACACTGTTGCTGGTATGTTGGACCATCCTCCATGCAGATCTCCTCTAGATCAGTGATGATTTGGGCTGTCGCTGGGCAACACGGACTTTCAAACTCCCTCCAAAGGTTTTCTATGGGGTTGAGATCTGGAGACTGGCTAAGCCACTCCAGGACCTTGAAATGCTTCTTACGAAGCCACTCCTTCGTTGCCCGGGCGGTATATTTGGGATCATTGTCATGTTGGAACCCAGACCCAGACCCAGTAATCATTGTATTCTAGCTCCATGCACATGGGGCGTTTTAATAACGTTGGTAACGTTGGCTGTGTAAAGTCATATTAAAAACCTGAAATACTTTTTTGCCCCACTGTATATATGTAAAGCGCTGCGTAAATTGACGGCGCTATACAAAGTACCTGAAATAAATATATATATAAGTACCTGTAATAAAATGCGAGTAAAATGGATGGAAATTGAATTGCGTTTTGGTACAAGTCAGTGTGAATTGGCCCTGAATGTTTGTGAGAGGTGCAACAAAACTTGTGGATCTTGTCAAACAGATGTAACAATACACTTCCAATGGTATACAGTCATGGCCGAAATTGTTGGCAATTTTTCCTGAAAATCAAGTATTTCACACAAAAAAGGTATTGCATTAACACATGTTTTGCTATACACATGTTTATTCCCTTTGTATGTATTGGAACAAATATAAAACAGAGGCAGAAAAGCAAATATGACATAATGTCACACAAAACCCCAAAAAATGGGCTGGACAAAAGTATTGGCACCCTTAACTTAATATTTGGTTGCACACCCTTTGGAAAACATAACTGAAATCAGTCGCTTCCTATAACCATCAATAAGCTTCTGACACCTCTCACCCGGAATTTTGGACCACTCTTCCTTTGCAAACAGCTCCAGGTCTCTCTTATTGGAAGGACACCTTTTCCCAACAGCAATTTTAAGATCTCTCCACAGGTGTTCAATGGGATTTAGATCTGGGCTCATTGCTGGCCACTTCAGAACTCTCCAGCGCTTCTTTGCCATCCATTTCTGAGTGCTTTTTGACGTATTTTTGGGGTCATTGTCCTGCTGGAAGACCCAGGATCTTGGACGCAAACCCAGCTTTCTGACACTGGGCCCTACAGTGCGACCCAAAATCCTTTGGTAATCCTCAGATTTCATGATGCCTTGCACACAGTCAAGGCACCCAGTGCCAGAGGCAGCAAAACAACCCCAAAACATCATTGAACCTCCACCATATTTTACCGTAGGTACTGTGTTTTGTTCTTTGTAGGCCTCATTCCGTTTTCGGTAAACAGTAGAATGATGTGCTTTACCGAAAAGCTCTATCTTGGTCTCAAAACAAGACGTTTTCCCAAAGGCTTTTGGCTTACTCAAGTACATTTTGGCAAACTGTAGTCTTGCTTTTTTATGTCTCTGTGTCAGCAGTGGGGTCCTATGCCATAGCGTTTCATTTCATTTAAATGTCGACGGATAGTTCGCGCTGACACTGATGCTCCCTGAGCCTGCAGGACAGCTTGAATGTCTTTGGAACATGTTTGGGGCTGCTTATCCACCATCCGGACTATTCTGCGTTGCAATCTTTCATCAATTTTCCTCATCCGTCCACGACCAGGGAGATTAGCTACAGTGCCATGGGTTGCAAACTTCTTGATAATGTTGCGCACTGTGGACAAGGCAAATCTGTTCTCTGGAGATGGAAAAGATTGTTGATATTTTGCCAAATTTTGGTTCTCAGGTCCTCAGACAGTTCTCGTCTCCTCTTTCTGTTGTCCATGCTTAGTGTGGCACAGACAGACACACAATGCAAAGGTTAAGTGAACGTCTCTCCTTTTTATCTGCTTTCAGGTGTGATTTCTATATTGCCCACACCTGTTACTTGCCCCAGGTGAGTTTACAGGAGCATCACATGCTTGTAACATTCTTATTTATCCGCAGTTGTGAAAGGGTGCCAATACTTTTGTCCAGCCCATTTTTGGAGGTTTGTGTGACATTATGTCGAATTTGCTTTCTTTCCTCCCTTTGTTTTGTCCCAAATACACACAAAGGGAATAAACATGTGTATAGCAAAACATGTGTTAATGCAATGTTTCGTGAAAATACATGATTTCCTGGAGAAATATCACTTTCAATGGTATATATTCCAGACCAAAAGGAAGCAAATAAAAAAAGTTACTTGCCTGAGCTTACATATACTAAAGCTGAGAATAGATGGATCAAAATTCAGCCGGTTCAGCGGGGCCCAACCAAATTTTGATCCACGTGTGACCATTCCCATTCAACAGAAAACAAGTGAACAAGCTGGAAAACCTTTTATCAAAGGCTGCAACCACTGATCAGTGCATTCCTACAGCAGAAAGTCCTACTTGTCAGAATACAATCTCCTGGTGGGAGTGGGTGGGGGGGTGGGGCCTAATTCCTCCATCCACCTCACTTGTGTGGATGAAGGAATCTGAACCATCTACGGCTAGTTTCTCAAGATTTTATCTTTATAACAAAATGGTTATTTAAAGGGACCCCCTTGCTATACTTGAATGTATGTATATCTGTGAAAGAAGTCTGTAAATATTGTGATGACCGGGGGTTGTTTAGCTCATTGGTAGGGCCTCACAGTAAGTTCCAGTCCATATCAGATATGCCATTTAAGGGCTTGTTGGCCCACTTTTATTTAAATGGAAAAAGTTTCCACCATCAATATGATATAAGGGCTCATGTACACTGCAGCTGATAAACTCACGTTTAGGAGCTGTTCAGCATTTTTTTTTTTCAGCAGCCCCTGAACTCCCCCTAATGTTTTCCTATGTGTCCATGTACACATCTTCGTTTACAGTCGTGTACAGGCATTTGAGTTTACAGTTGTTTTTTTTTTGAACGCATCAAACTTGCGTTCAGCAGTCGATTTTATCAGCGTTTCAAACGCAAAACGCTTGTAAAAGCGTTTATAAGCTTTTGCATTTGAAATTTTTTTTTAACTCTTCCAGTTCCTGATGCTGTCCAGAGCCTTTTTTTATCATGGAAAATGCATGCAAAGCATTTCAAGGTGCTCAGGTGGACAAAACACTGAACACAGGATGTTCCTACCAAGCTTTTCACACATTGTAGTGACCAATTCACACCTCAGACCTCTCCCACCCTTGGAAACAAAAGATATGTTAATGAACCATTCACACCTCAGACCTCTCCCACCCTTTGAAACAAAAGATATGTTAATGACCATTCACACCTCAGATTCCTCATGAAGACCCCCTGCCAGGTGGCCTTAATGACTCCCTCCACCAGTCACCTTTCCCACCCTTGGAAACAAAAGAAATGTTAATGAGCAACTCACACCTAAGCCAATGTCAACACATACTGCTGTCTCTGCTTCTACTCTCTGTATTTCTCTGAAACAGTTAAATATTTACCACTTTTCAGTGCATTCTGGGCATTTGGGAGGTTCTTCTGTGCTTATCTTTAAAACACGCTTCTAAACGCAAACGCACATAAACACGATATGCAAACGCAGCTAAATAGCAGACATTTTTTAACCTACGTTGTTCAGCAGGCAGTTTCCATCTTTCAGAAGTGTCCCGCGTACATGGGGCCTAACAGTATTCACTCTCCTGGCTCTTCTTGGCAATCCTGCCGCTCAGTCCTTGTGCCGTGGTCCTCTTGACATCTAACAAAGTACCCGTGTTCATGAAGAAATGCTGTACCATTGTCAGCTCCCTGTCCCTTTCCTCCTTGCTGCTCCTTCTCCCAGGCTCAGGCCTCTGTCTGTCCTATCGCAGTCTACACCTCTCTGGCTGCTCCCGTGCGACCACACATGGACTCCTCAGGAGGATGGACTATTGCCATGTCCTAGATTATAAGGCCTACAATACCTTCATGCTCAGTTTTCTGGTTACTGGCAAGACTTAGACATTGGCTTGGAGACCCTTTGTCCCTTTTTTCCTACATGGCAGGGTC